TAAAAATTTTCGGATATACCTGAATGTAATACATCTAGAAAAATTTTTAGATATTGAGTAAAATCATTCTCTTCGTGTAAAAATCCAACGGGGAAGCTAACGTCCCCTCGTCGCCGATTTACTTGAAAATATACGAACCGTAGCCGGTTCGTCGCGTCGTGCGTTTCGTTCCGTTCAAGTTATCGGACTCAAGTCATAGTCCGCGCGCGATTATAGTGTATTATCGCGAGCGTTGTACGCGAGTGTCCTGTGCGAGAGGATGACAATCATGTGCTGTGAGGAGGAGGAGGTCTGGGAGAGACATCGAGCACCGGTGGAGCAATCTTGCGGTAAATATTATTTTTTATTTGTGTAAAATTAACCTTTTTTTCGCTTGTTTTCAAATCATTTAATTTGACAATGATTTAAAAATGGTTGTTTTTAAATCATTGTTAAATAAAATGATTTAAATAATTATATATTTTATGAAATAGTTATATAAAATAATTATTAGGTGTTGGAATTAATTCGTAGCGTTTTTAATGAAAGAATGTTATTTATTTCACATGAGCATTAAAAAATACATTAATGAAAGTACTTCCCATCACTTGTAAAACGCTACGAATTAATTCCAATACCTAATACATATCCTCTAAAGTAATTATATACTCGTATATTCTCTAAAAAAGATTTTAGCAAAAATAAATTTGTATATAATTTTAAAGTAGTTTTTCGTTATTCTTCTTGAAAATGATTGTTTTTAAATCATTGTTAAATAAAATGATTTAAATAATTGTATATTCTATAAAATAATTCGATAAAATAATTATATATATGTATTCTGTTAAAGAAGATCTTAGCAAAAATAAATTTGTATAAAATTTTTAAGTAATTTTTTAAGTAATTCTTCTTTTATCTAAATTAGGTAAAAGAAGAATTACTTAAAATTTAGATGAAATAATTATACATATTCTTTGAAATAATAATATATATATTCTCTAAAGAAGATCTTAGCAAAAATAAATTTATATAACATTTTAAAGTGATTTTCAACTTGTTAAAATTAGAGTTAAAAGGAGAGTTACTTAATAATTACTTTGAAATAGTGAATGAAAGTAAATGAGATTATAACGTAATTGTTGTAGTGTAATTAAATAATAATGTTATTCAGTATAATATTATTTAATTACACTATAACAACTGCGTTATATTCATTTGCCTTCATTCATTATTTTATTATTTTGAGAGTCGTAAGGAAATTGCTACATTTCCATTTCTAATTACTTTTAAATTTTATACAAAAAAAAAGTTACTTTAAAAAAATATTATTTTATACAAATTTATTTTTGCTAAGATCTTCTTGAGAGAATATACATATATAATTATTTTATATATATAATTATTTTATATATCTAATTAAACAATAGGTACAAAATTCAATGCTTTCAAAAATTGTATTTTCATAATTGCACGATTATTTTTCAGCAATCTGCATGCGTTCATATAGCAATTATTTTTTTAAGTAATGATTATTTCTTTACTCTGTTTTAATTTGGATTTTAATTTATTTGTTACAGAATCATTCGTAGCAGATGTAACTCCACTGTTGCGCATCGAGTCGTCGGTGAGTGATGAATCAACATTTTTATAGTGAAGTAACGGATATATAATAATTTTATTAGTTTCATTTCGATTTCGACCAGTTTTGGCCAAAATTAAGAGAAAATTTCGATAATTAAACCAAAACTACGGATAATAAGGTGATCAAACTCGAGAATTAAGAGTATACTCGAAAAATGGCTTATAGGAAAACGCAAAACCTCTTTTACATCGAGCACTTGGTATGCGTATTAACTATATAGTCTCACTTTCTATTAAATTATATCTTAGCAATGTATCTCAGCAATGTATTTAAAGACTGTACTAAATTGGTTCAATATGCATCAAAATTATTAAATATAATACACATAATGTCATATATATGCATATGTTTACACATATCGCAATGTCAAGAGCACTATGTAAATTAGCCATTATTAATAATCCATATTTTTACTTACGATATTGACAAGAAAGTCTAATAAATGACGAATATATTTTACTTTTATGTCTAATGCGATTAATAATGTCGTTAATAAAGTTAATAAAGTAATGTCGTATAAATAAAATATATTTATATCTTCTGTTAAAATTATTTTCATTAAGATTTTCATCAAGATTTTTTCTGCCATCAAAAGATAAAATTACAGAACGACATATGTATTAGTCTTGCTCATGGCCTTATATGGTTGCGAGTCGGTACAAGATGCATTAAATGACCCATGTATGGTAACGATTCTCGATACAGGGCTGTAATAACTCATGGAGTGAGTGCCTAAAAAAATTCTAATTAAGTTAATTATATTCCATATTTATACGTGAGCTATAGCTATATATCGCAAATATTTTTTTCAACAGTCTATATAAATTTATACTATTTCTAATAATCATGGCGTGATTATCATTTTACTGTTTGTCACAATGTTTTAACAACATGAAGTATCTCGATGTAAATATTATCCTGTTCTTTTTAGCTGAACTTCTTGCACACAGTTCATCTTTTCTCTTTTCCTTTCCAACATGAAAAGAAAAGGAAGAAAAATGAACATGAAAAGCAAAGCCGGGTTAATGTATTTTTGACCCAGAGATGATGTTAAGACTGATTCCCTTTATTCATAAGGATTATCTTATAGCAGTATAGATACTAAAATATCTATTTTCAATAAAAATTATTTATTGAATAATAATAATGATAATAACAAAAAAATATTTTGCATTTTTTATTTAAAAAGTGTAATTGTTCGTATAACGATTTTTTGTTTACAAGATACAGTACTATTCTGGATGCTGAAAAATAAAAACATAAAGATAATTCATATTTTATTGAAATTTTAGTGGTACTCAACAAAAGTTTTTTTCTTGATTTATTATGCGCAAATTCATTAATTAAATCATTCAATCAATAATCAGTTTAAATGAATGCACAGCACATCCAAAATGTAAGTTTCCAGATAAAAAAAAACATAGAAATATGTACCTTTTTTTGCTGAATATTGTGTGTTTTATTGTTACGAGGAATGCAAATTAAAATTTTTAATTATTTATTTGGATTTGATTATTTACTTCTATCAATGAAATATAATTTTAAGCTAAAGATAAGGGGCTCCCTAAAAGGATGTAATCGGGGCTGTAGCCTTCTTGCCTTCTCCCCCTCTTCCCGCCCTTAATCTGACGTGCTTTTTATAACTAAAGAGAACTTTTTATAACTAAAAAGAACAGATCTTATCTATATATATGCTTTTAAAAACTCCAGATTAAAATTCCATCCAAGAATTTTTATCTACAAAAATTCCATTTTTATCTACAAAACAAGGTTTTTTTTATCAGCTTATTTTTGTTTTTTCATTTCCGATTGAGTTAAGGAGCATTTATATTGGCTATAACTATATGCCGTATGTCGTAATCTGTAAGAATTGATCTGTAAGAATTGATTAGTCACAGTCGAATATTCTTCTCTTAATCAAATGAGCAGGAAATACCCGACTGTGATTGGTCAATTCTTCTAGATTACGACATACAACATACGGATACGGCCAGTAAATGTTCTCTTACTTTTACGTATTCATCAATAAAAATGCGATTCAAGCAAAAGGCTTTGAATAATGATCGAATGAAAGAGTGATTCGCGAATATCCTGCGAAGCAGGGGAAAAATTGGAACACGATCCTGACCGATGACCTGAGTTCTTTTCGATCCGCGATTTTCGCGGCTTACTATTCCGTTTTCCTGCCTTCCAGCGCTTCCAGCAGATGGTGCTGGCTCAGCAGGCTGACAGCGGGTGTGGTGAATAACTACGGAGTGATTCGTAAAGTGATTCACAGTGTGCTTTGAGATCTGCTCTAGCTTTAAACCCTATTTTCTCTCGGTTACTATTATTGGTGAGTATATATTTCGTTTAAATTGTGGAATAATCGGGCCGAATGAATGAGTTTCCATCCCTGAATTGTAGTACGCGCGACGATGTTTGACAGAGAATCTCATTCTCGAAAGAGCGGCCATTGTCGTTCGCAAAGCATTTGATGCTTTCCAAAATCTCGTTTGGCTTGAAAGACCTAGAATCGGTACTCCTATTAACAGGATGGGCGATGAGTCGGATGTTTCTTGGCCAGGTTATGTATCGATCGGAGAGATGTATGTGAGGAAGCGTGTATAAACACAGACGAGTGCAGTGCTGTAGATAATAGAGGACGCAGTGAGTGTAATGCATTCAAGATCGGTGCGATTATAATATCATGGTAGCCTCTCGATGCATTGTTGAAAATAGAAATATAAAAAATTTTTTGCCCTGGACATAAGTTTACGACGAATTAGACTAAATTTATTTCATCAGACTAAATTTATGTCAATTGTCCGATTCGCAATGCGTCAAAAGTTTACGCTAATCGCGACGGCACTGAGCGCGAGAGAGATACGAGATTCGAAGGAAAAGTAGGACGCGATTCGAGAAGCTTGAACAGACCACTGTAACTGCAAAATTCATGAAAGACAATTACGAAAGAAACTTCGTTTATAAGTATATAAATTTATTAAATTTCAAAAGAGTGTATATATTTTTGTTAATTAAAAATCTCAGGTAGATATACAGAATATTTTTATATGCGTGCGCGAAGATATTTTTTAAATAAATATGTTTATAAAATATATTGTATAACAAAGCACTTATGTGTTTTATTGTTAGACTAATATAATTTTTTGTTCTTGTTGTGAGACTGTTTTAAGAAATATCTTAAAATATCTACGGCTCTCTGATTGGTTCGTGACATTTTAAGATTGTATTTCCCAGATAGCACAGAATATTTATGAGAAATATAAAGAAATATTTTTAATAAATATTTTTTACTGGAATTGTAATGTCTCATTAAATATTTTCATAACATTTATAATAAATATTTATTGTCTGAGCAATCTAAGACTACAGAAATATTTATGAAATATTTGTAAAATGTTTGTGTCTTAGATTGCTTAAATATTGCATAAATATTTATAATTTATAATATATGAATATTATGAACAACAATATTACGACATAAATACCAATATGAAATATTTATTGTATATTTTATAAATATGGTGCTGTTTGGATTAAAACGATCTTAAATATAAAAAATTTGAGTATGAATGTTGCTCTTCGGAATGGAATTTATTTACCCAAACTCAAAGTCGTGTGTAAAAGACATTTAAGAACATGAGAAGAATAACTTCTTAGGATGCATTCGGAGAGACACTATTAGCGCTGTTTGTTCTATTCTATATTCATCGTTTATTAGACAAAAAACAAAGATGCAGTTATACAAATAGCATTAATAGCATCTCCCCGAACGTACTCTTAATCGTGCCTTCTGTCTCGTCCAAGTATTATTTTTAACCCCTTTTTCGGTCACGTCGAGTATCGTGAACTGATTATTCGAAAATACCGATGATGATAGCGACTTGGCAACTCGGATCGTCTCCTCGCGATATTCATTTTAATTTAAAAACAATGCGTCTTTGTTTCGCTAAAATCTACAACGGGAATTTATGACTATAGAAAAAAAAGGATTGTGATTTATTTTTAAGCATACAAGTCGGTTCCTATGAATATATATGTATGATATACGAATATATATGTATGGAGTATACACAGTCTGTCCAAAAAATTCCGAGACTGATTTTTTTTCTAGATTAAAGTAACTACAGATTTATAAAATACCGCAAGTTTTCTCAATTCAATTGCCACAATATGGCAGATCTGTACTATGTGCATGATTCACACAATTTTATATGATTTCACGTACACAATAGGTACTGTTAGATGCTACTATTCTAATTTGTGCAAAATTTTCGAAACATTCATTGATATTTTGTTGTGTTTAAAGAAACGTGAATTGCGGGCTTCAAAATCTATGTGTGAATAAATTCATCGTTGGAGTTGGTCACTTTTAAACAAATTCTGATATGACAACAGTCGGATTAGGGCGATCAATCTGCTCCGGTCAAGCTTTATTCAAGAATATTGAGGTTGTTGCACGTGTGATGTGTATTTTCATCTTCTGAACTGTACTTACATGTACCTTTGTATACTTAGGTACTTACATGTACCTTTATATATTTTTATATACTAAAACTTAAACGACAAATATTGGACTAATGAATACATAAATTAAGCATTCGCACATATTTCTTTGTTCATAAATAAATTGATTACAAAAGAAAAAAATTGATTTATGTATTTTATGGTTTTATTTTCTCAAATAAAGTACGTTTGCACAAATGTATAAGTTTGAAATGGCCCGGTCTTTTCCATAAAATTGTGGCGAGTTTGCGGTACTTTATAAATCTAATGACTTTACTCTAGACTAGTGTTCCTAGAATTATTATAGGAACAACTCTTCTAGACATAGAATACTAATTGCGCCATCCATTGGGGACTTGTGAAATCTTTTAATGGCATCATTCTTCTGCAAATGTGCGTTATCCAATTGATTCAGCTAGCTATCATTATTCTGTTTTGAGAACGAAACAATCGAATTTTTCCAGATTTTTTGATTTTATGAAAGTAATTATGGGACAAAGAATAGATTAAATTTAATTTTTAAATTGGGAAAACAATACGGAAACGTTTGAGGCCATGAAAATTGCTCGTGGTGATAAATGTCACATTCGAAAGTTTGTTTGAATGGTTTAAAAAATTCAAAGAGGGCCAAGAATTGTTTGAGAATGGTGAAAGGTTGGTAGGACGTTCCATCATAAGTTTGACCGATACAAACGTTGCCTTATCCACAAGAAATTTATTTCTCTGAGTACCATCATGAACTCCCACTTCTATCTAGATGTAAGTATTGAATCGTCTTTGCAAAAGAATTCAACGTGTTCGACCAGACCAATGGAAGGAAAGAGATTTTTTGCTGCACGACAATGCGCCCGCCCACACTGCTGGAATTGTGACCCAGTTTTTAGCACGAAGCATTTCTGTGCTTCACTATTCTCCATATTCGCCTGATTTAGCTCCAATTTTTTGTTTCCTCAATTCAAGTTGCACATGAAGGGAAAACGTTACTATGATTTAGAGGACATCCAAGCTAATGTGACACGAGAATTAAAGAGAACTTCAAAAGAAGTCTATAAAATGTTTCCAAAAATTAGATAGAACTTCAAAAGAAGTTTATAAAATGTTTCCAAAAATTAGATGAACGTTGTAATCGTTGTATTGAGTTACAAGAAGATTATGTAGAACATGTAAATCAAAATTTTTTTCAACTTATATTTTTTAAACCAGTAGTCCTGGAACTTTTTGAACAGACCGTGTATGGTTTGCGAATAAGTCACGTCAGTGGGTAGGGGGAATATTGTTTCTATCAGAATGTATACTCAATAATTGTCAGATCGTAATTTATTAGTTTAATCCGAAAATATACATATCCTCGCTAGTGAACTGTTAATATTTGCTCAGAGAAAAAATGCTATTTTAAATTTATCGAAGAATCCATAAATTCACATTTTAGTCTCGAGAATTTTTTCTCTGAACAACGCACTTTACACATCTAAATACATGTTGGTTACAAATAAAAAGATTTAATAGATATTAATAAAAAGATTTTTCGCCAATTCGATATTATTTATAATTCAAAATTACAATACAGTGGACATCAGCGGGCGTCTGCAATTCAAATTTATTGAACCCACAATATATAAATTTTCACAAACGCACTTTTTTAAAAAAGAGAAGTATCGTTTAATTTATATAATATGTTAGATTAGGCTTAAAACGAAGACTTCTTAAGACTGCTTAAGAAATCGTAACTAATATTTTAACTTTCAGTAGGTGAGATATTGAAGATGTCTTCCCGCAAAACTGCCGGTCGTCGTGCCACCACGAAGAAACGCGCTCAGCGTGCGACATCGAATGTTTTCGCGATGTTCGATCAAGCGCAAATCGCCGAGTTCAAAGAGGCTTTTAACATGATTGACCAGAATCATGACGGATTCATCGACAAAGAGGATTTGCACGATATGCTGGCCTCTTTGGGTAAATAAAAACTTTGGAAAGAGAGAGATAAAGAAAAAATTGAAGATATATCCACACAGATTTATATAAATGTCAATGATTATATGTATAGTGTTTTTTAGATTAAGATAAGATATAGATAGAACACAAGCAGAAATAGATCACCTTTTACAGGCAAAAATCCTACTGATGAATATTTAGAGGCAATGATGAATGAAGCACCTGGACCTATTAATTTTACAATGTTCCTGACATTGTTTGGAGAGAGACTGCAAGGAACTGACCCTGAAGATGTGATCAAGAATGCTTTTGGTTGTTTTGACGAGGAAAATACTGGTCATATAAATGAGGAACGCCTTCGTGAACTGCTCACGACAATGGGCGACAGGTAATTACTGATTGATTCAAGACTACGAAATTATTGTGATTTATTAGATTATTGTGCCTTTTTAAAGCGCCAATTTTAAAGACATATTTACAAATAAAATTTAGCTTCTTTTTAGGACACAAATTTTATTGAAAAAAGAAATAGCAGGCTAAAGAAATAATTGGCCGACAAATTCATAAAAATATTACGAATAATAATTATTGTATTCTCGACCTCCTTAGATTGATTATCACTGTTCGAGTTGCAACAAAGATTTTTATCAAGATTACAAGAAAAAAAAATATTAAATTTCGAAGAAGGTTCTATTGTAAATAATTGGCATTTTTGATGTTTATGCAAAATCAACTGTTTTTTTTTTTAGATTTACGGACGATGATGTAGACGAAATGTACCGCGAGGCGCCAATAAAAGGCTCCATGTTTGACTATTTGGAATTTACTCGAATCCTGAAACATGGCGCGAAAGACAAGGACGAGCAGTAGTGAGGATTTATCTAAAAAAGTTTATCGCGTATCCTGACATGAAATCTTAAATAATATTTGAAATTTCTCACACGCCTCTCGCGTTTTTCGATTCAACGGATCTTAGAACCATGAAATATTATTATGAGTAATTTTTTTCTGATTTTATTGATTAGAAAATTATGTACATACACACCGAACAATTTCAAATCGTAATCTGCATTAGAAATTATAGTTTCGTTTTCTTGGAAATGTCTGTTTGTATTTATACTTGTCGAATTTGAAAATATAAGCTCAATAAGTACGAGATAAATTTAAAAGCGTGAGGTGTGTATGTATGTCATATAGAAAAACTTTTTTGAAGTATTCAAAAATAACAATTTTTCGAATGAATTGCTGTACAGACGGTAAAAGTTAAATATGTAAGATATTTATATACATAATGCAGCCGTGTAACTCTGTTGTAGATTCAGCATTTATATTTTAATATAATATTCTATTGCATACGAATTCGTCTTATTTATTAAACCATTTAAGAGATCATTATGTAATAGCATAAATATATTCATCAATATTATAATTATATATATATATATATATATTGCTATTGATAAAGGAGATAAAATTATTGCATAAGAAATACGTGAATATATAGTTTTGATAATGATTATTCGTATAGAACTCGAGAACAAGCCAGAACTATCGTCAGAAGTGTCAAAAATCATCGGTACAATACGTTCTACCGAGTGCTGGTAGCAATAGTTAAAAATATTTTAAATGAATTCACAAGCACTTGATATACTATTAATTATTAGCTTTCTATTAAATTATTTTAATTTCAGCAATGTATTTAAAGAATGATGTACTAAATTGGAATAATATACATCAAAATGATTAATTATACAAATATATAGTGTAGATGTTTACATGTATCGTCAAAATTAAAATGATTCAATAGAGAAAATTACTAATTAATATCCGTATCAAGTGCTTGATGTAAACATAAGTCAATGTTAATATAAAGCAAATCAACTTTTGAAAATGATTCATTTGTGTAGAATTCGAACGGAACAAGTCAGAATTATCAAAAATTTCAAAAATTATCAGCACGTTTCTATGGAGTACGGATGTTTAAAACTGTATAAAAAATCTATTATTTTGTCCTTAAAAAAACGTTGATATATATAATAGTGAATCTAATTTAAACTTAACGGGAACATATAATAGATATAGATCGTAATGTTTAGTGGTATCTGGTATGAGCCTCAGCATAAAAGTTGCTTTTCATTTATACATAAGTGAAACAGTCTGAAGTGAGCTGAGTATTCATACTCAGATTAATGATGTTATTACTTGCTTACTTTAGTAAGAAATTATCACATGACAACACAGGTTCATAAGTTTACTTTAAAAGTGAGTTTATGATACTCGGTAAAGCACACGGTCTCGATCTTGTGCAGATTGTAGGTAAAAACTCAGTTGAATCTCACTTATCAGAATGTAAAAGGAACGCGCATTTAATCGACAATGAGTCACAAGTGAGAATTATCTAAGAATAGATGTAAATGGAAAACAACTATTGATGGTCATAATTGAGTCGTGAAACATGAGTCATGGGATGCATTCCATTTCATGTATGGACCGCATGAAACGTAGCGCATCACATGAGCGCATTGGCTTATTCCGTTTCTCCATGCGCATGAAGAAACGGAACATGTAACCATTGCGACCTATGCGTGCTCATGAGTGCTTGCCATAAACAGACATGACGGATTTCTCATTGTATCTGTTTGTTAATATTTATTGTCAGTTATTACCGTTAGAAATTCAATATTACATATGTCGAATACTCATAATTTGTTATCTACATAAATTTATAGTTCTTATATTTTGGAAGTTCTTTCATAATAAAGTTCTTTCTTTCAGACCCAATCTCCAATTACTAGTGTGATACGGGAATTACGCTGCGTGTCGTATAGACTATGCGCGCATGATCTGTCGATTAAGTGTATGTAAGGCTTAAAAGTTATTTGACGAACTTTTGTGACGTAATCTGACCGTATTGCTTCTTTATTTTGTGAAGGCAAAAGCCAATAAATAATAAGAAGAAGAGAAGCGCATGATCTGATGAGAAGTATATGAAGTGAAACGGAACGACTTCTATGCTCTCCATGCGCATCATGCATGAAACGGAACGCAGCCGTAGTCGTAGGTCAACGCACAATGTTTTGATCAATCTATATAACTATGGTTTACGTTCCATGATTCAGTTATGGCCATTTTTATGCTTAGGTTTTTAGAATTCGGGAACTAGATTGAAATGAATATCTTAGGGCATAAATTCGTGATAATTATTTAGAACGCCCTTCTTCATTTTAATTTTGATGAAATTAGGCTCATTCGATGTGTTTTTGCTCCTAGTATTTTGCTATCAAGGTTGTGCTGTGAGAAGGTTGAAAACGTATTTGCATTCTACGATGCATCAAGTTAAATTCAGTATCTATCTTGTATTAGGTGTTGGAATTAATTCGTAGCGTTTTTTAATGAAAGAATGTTATTTATTTCACATGAGCATTAAAAAATACATTAATGAAAGTACTTCCCATCACTTGTAAAACGCTACGAATTAATTCCAACACCTAATATATGCATTTCGATGTTGCTGAGACTTTGGATATTAATTCACTAATGAATTCATTATAAGAAATAATATTCAAAGTTTTTTGAACATTTGCTCCAAGTATCTCAACAAATTAAACAAAAATATTTATAAGAATTTATTATTAGAAGAATTTCGTTATTTATTATTCTGTTATGATCTTAATATTGAAATTCTATAAAGAAGTCTATAAAGATGTCGTGATGTAAAAATAATAATGAAAATTTTGTTGCCTCTCCCCTCACCTTGTCTAACTCCACATATACCAAATCAACAAGTCGATGAGTCCTGATAGCTAGTACAAAGAGGAGATACAAGATTACTTATATTTTTTTTATAAATATCGAAATACGAAAATATCTATATAAAAATACTAAAATTCAGTTCTTTATTGTACAAAAAACTGTTTTTGTTATTGTGTACAAGAGATTGCGTTTTTGTTATTTCATATAATTTACAAATAAAATATAAAGTTGACTTATAATTATATTGTAATTATTTTATTATTTAAAGTAATCTGATTTTAAAACAAATTAAAATGTTCTAATATAATAAAAATGTTTTTTTCGAAATTAATTTTTTATTTATTAGGTGTTGGAATTAATTCGTAGCGTTTTTAATGAAAGAATGTTATTTATTTCACATGAGCATTAAAAAATACATTAATGAAAGTACTTCCCATCACTTGTAAAACGCTACGAATTAATTCCAACACCTAATAAATTTTAATGAATATGTTAAAAATTCAACACAACAAGATTAACATAAATCGATTCAATTAAGAGTTCAACACAAAGATAAAATATTTTTTATTGTATACATTTGACTAAATTATTTGCGAAATTCGGAATAATTACTAACGATAAGTAGAATCTTCCAAAATAGAATATTTTATTTCGATTTCTATGAAATGCATCCGCAAATGTCAAATTAAATATTTGCTAAATGTTAAATCTATTTCTATGTTACATTCGGTGATAAATATTAGAGTCTATTAGTCGTATCATGTTTTTGTTACATGCATGACGCGATCATTACCGTATCTTATCACTGTTTTTCAGTTAAAATCAAGTGAAGATTAGTGAATTTGTGAAAATTAAACCGTTATTCAATTTTACAAAAATTGAAATATTAGGTGTTGGAATTAATTCGTAGCGTTTTTAATGAAAGAATGTTATTTATTTCACATGAGCATTAAAAAATACATTAATGAAAGTACTTCCCATCACTTGTAAAACGCTACGAATTAATTCCAACACCTAATAATATTTATAAAAATTATTTCTTATAACATTTTGGAATTCGTCTATCATGTCCCTAAGTTTAGTAGCTTATTGTAAATTTTTAATTAATTTCAAAGATTCTCTTGAATTACATCCGGATTTCCGGAAACAATAAAATGAAAATTTTTACATTATATTAGGTGTTGGAATTAATTCGTAGCGTTTTACAAGTGATGGGAAGTACTTTCATTAATGTATTTTTTAATGCTCATGTGAAATAAATAACATTCTTTCATTAAAAAACGCTACGAATTAATTCCAACACCTAATACAATTTTTAAAATTGAGCTACGAAATTTATTTATATATATATTTCGCGGGTTCTATCTCCGTATCCATAGTTAGAATAGTATTCTAGGTAACTTCTTTATGGAAAGTACTCGTGGAAGCCTTAAAAATTTATTCGTATATTATATTTATTTGTTGTATATTATTTGTACATTATAAAAGATTTAATTTTTCCCAATATTTACCATTGTTTAAGAAATGTTTCATTATTAATTATAGAATTCGTCTCATCTTATTAATAAGCACTAACTAAAGTTCTTATCTTATTGATAAAAATTAATAAAACAATATTAGGGTGAACATGGCCGTACTCTTTTTAAAATAAAAAATATAAGAGATACAATAAGAGATAAAGTTCATAACGATTGAAGCTGGATCTTTAGTGGTCAAATATTTAATATTACTATGTACAAATCCAACTTTGACCATTATGGGTTCTATTTCTTATTGATTGTGTGTACTCACATGTACACAAATGGTCCGATATAAGATTCTTATTGTTTATATATGTCACCTGAAAAAATACGAAACGCAGAAAAGGAAATAAAAATAAAAAATCAAAAAGTAAAAGATAAAATATAGGAAAAAGAAAGAATAAAATAGAAACGTAAATTATCGAATAATGAAACAAAGTTATAATTTACCTTGACGAATAATGTGATTATAAATAAATAAATTATTAATGAGTATACATATAATGAGATTAGAAATGAATATATTATTTTTACAATTAGAAAAAGATTTGTATATACATCTAAAGAAAGTAAATTGTTCCTAATCGTTGCCTATGAAGCACTATTAGTGTGAAGTGAGGCGCGAGATGACAGCCGGGCGCGCGCATGCGCGCATCGCGCATCGCGCATATAGTCCGAACTCTGACTATGCCGAACGGCACTTTCAGTGTCAGAAAGTATCAGTCTTCTCTTTACCGCGTATAGGAGACGTCGTGGATATACGCGAGCCGCGAGCGGATGCACACAGTCCGTCTCGTCCGAACTGACGAACTCCGAGTCAGCCCGGCTTTGAGCAGAGCGAGCAGAGTCGCCCCCGCTTTCTTCGCGCCAACGGTAAATAGAGCGGGGCCAGTTTACTCCGCGGTGCGGATTAATAGACGGGGCTGCAGGGCTCTCTTTCCCCCCCGCGCACCTAGTTGCCAGTAATCGCTGGTAGTCGCTGGTAGTCGCTGGTAGTCGCGAGTGCATCGTATTCGAGCGACGCGTCGCGCGTCACGGTCGACTTCAGGGCAGTGATACGGCGAGAGGGTAGGGGAACAATATGAACTCGATTGTGGGGATCGCGACGAGGGGACCGCGCGGTCGACGTTCCTGCATCGAGAATTCTACGCTCGAGCCTCAGGATTCGCGCTCGGCACCTGCTGTCAAGTACGTCATATAAGTTCGATCTTTAATCGCGTCCTGCGTCGCATCGTATATATATATATATATATATATATATATCTTGTGTCACCGTTAAGATGTACCCGCTGGGAGCGATGTTACTTCGCGACTACACGGTCTGTCGACAAATAATAGCCGTTATCGAAGCGACGTCCTGCAGCGAGTGCAGCGTCGCGACACCGCGCGGATATGTGTGTTGTCATCAATAAAGCGACGCACCGATATCGCGACGTCCTGACGGAAGTTGGCCACGGATGTTATTCGCAACGTCACCGAAGACTCCTGGAACGAAGATCGTGTAACATTGCGCAAATATTCGTTATGAAAGCAATTACTCCGGATTTCATATTACAATGCGGCGCGAAGAGTGGGATACTTCTGGGATACATTTTCTAGTGATCGTCGGGAATTCCGAACTAGAATAATACGGTGAGCGTTTCTGTCGTCCGAAAGGATCTGTCAATCCAGAAACCTGTGGTGTGTTTTGAATCGAAGAGAATCACGGCGAAAACATTACAAGTGAAACCTCGCGATTGCGGATGGATTGATCAGTGCGCGCCGAAATCGCATCGTCGAGGCTTTCCCCCCCGTCGGTCAGGAGTGCATCGGATGCGTGAGAAAGTGCAGCTGCAGCAGTAGCAGCAGGGCGTCGGGAGGAGAGGTTAGGCGAGGCCGACACCCACCGAGCGAGTCGATCAGCTGTTCCGCGGTGCCGACATCATTGTCGTTTCGGACGGTAGGTACGTGTCAGTTTTCACTTTTCTCATTATCGCTCTTTTGTCCTGGACGAGCGTGATCGAGATCGTTGCTCGTGTCGAGAGACAAATGTCCTGGCGCCTGGTATTCGACGGGCGTTCGATATTTTCAAATATCGTCGTCTGGAGGGAACCTTGTTTTTATTCACAATGGCAATTAGTCTAGGGTTCATTTTGTGGATGAGCGTATTAACGATGATATAAATATCCATACAGCATACTTTTATCCAAAGGATATCTTGAGAACGTCCTGGGAATATCCTGGAAACTTGTTTAGGACATGTGTCTCTTGGAGGTACTTTGTGCTGGGTGGTAGAAATCGATAGTAAATAAGAGATGCAATCGATCGAATAGCAAAAGCAGTACTTTTGTTTATAAAAATCAAGTAGACTCGCGAATATCGAATTTGCTTAAGGTAGGAAAGAGAAACATATAAAGAAATTCCACATTAACTGTCGTAATTAAATTTCATAGATAAACATTTTTTTTTAATTTGTTAACATAAACAATATTGCATTATTATATTTGCAAATAATTGGATTTATCCTCCTAACTAATAACACTTAATGTATAACATCACATGAGAGTACCTTTTCTTCGCTAACTCGCGTCGCGTGTCACAGAAAAACCTGTGAAACGTAACTCACTTTGTTTACAATGCTCGGAATGCGAAGAGGGATACACAGGTGGTCACTTTTTTTACGATGTTGGAATGCAACGGAAAGAGCGTGAAATCGCACATAAAAGAACACTTATAATTTCTGTTATAACATTTTAAATGCATGCAGTAAGCGCTCTCTCTCTCTCTCTCTCTCTCTCTCTCTCTCTCTGAATTTATTAATTTATTAATTTCGATTCGATAAATGTTCTTTTATGACAAAGATTCCAAGTATTATCAAAGCTTTATTATTCTTTTATAATAACTTGTTAGATTAAAATAAATTTTGTGTGACGATTAAAGTTAAATTATAACAGAGCAGGGAGTGTAACTGTAAAAGCTAGCTCTTCAACGACTCGTCACGTAACGTGTTCCCACGTGTCTTGCAGTAACGTTAGACTACTTTTTATTGCATTAAAATTTTTGTCGACCCGATCTCACCGTCGCATCACATGTTATGAATGACGCAAGAAGTCTCCACTTTCACAGTGTTTCCCGAACAATACCATTGTATGGTGAAATTATTATATCAGTGATGTAACGACAAATTGCAACGACAAACAGTTGACGTTTTTACTGTGATTGTACATTGTTGTGAAAACAAGATAGATTACGTCTGCTATGTGTTTACGATTTTTTCTCGACGGTTTATGTAACACTATTGACCCTTGACTCGACATACAAAGAGAACACGGGGATCGGAAGTAACTCATTAAAAGCGTTCCTTTATAAAGTTGCTTGCATGCTAAGTATTGTTGTGCTTTGTGCAATGGATACACTCAGAAAAATATTTGTTCATTTGATTCATTTGATAAATTAATTTAGCTCGCCTTAATTTCTTTTCATGAAGAATGTATGTAAACATATTATATTTGACTTAAATGCATACATTCTTTAACGACCAAAATAAAGACGTACTAAATTAATTTGGTCAAATGAACAATTTTTTTCCTCAGTGTAAAAGGAACGTTTTGTTTTCTTTACGAGAATAAAGTACTTTAACGTTTCTTAGAAAGTATTAATTCCGGAGCATTTCCACATTTTTTTTCGATAAGAACGACGTAGAAGTAATATAGAATTGAGATGGCTAATCGTGAGATGACTGATCCTGCCTTTCGCGAAAATAATTAAATGATAAATCGCGTGAGTAGAATGTCGTGTCACAGACGTAACACTATAGTCTATTTGAACGAAATCTCACACACACGTAAATGTTATGTAAATCGAATTCAGGAACTAAACCGAGAAATGAATACGCATAATAGGTCTTCACGCAAAATGGAGAGTAATTTATAATATCGTCTGTTGTAGAATAAAAAGAGCAGCCATGTAATTTTTCTTATACATCGATGCATTTGACATACAAATATGCACGTTTATAGAATATTGTACAAAGTGTCTCATTTTTTTTTTGACTAAAGATTCTTATACAGTATTTGTATTGATTTTCATAATACGTAAGAATATATCGCCTGTCGTGATTACATGTTCGTTCTATATTCAACAATTCGCAGACTTTCTCCGAAAGGACTGTTGCGACATTCGTTTTACGACAACGAGTTGAAGGTCTTTGATAGATAGTGCTGAAGAAATCTCATATTTTTGTAGCTACAATTCTATTTGTCGTTGGATTTATTTCGCGAATTTAGTTGTTGAAGGTACATCGTTAGTCGTAAAGAAAGTCGTTACATAAAACGAGATTTCCCCGATATCGCGTTTCGTCAATAATCCTGAGGGAAATAATTTCTCTTTCATCTCACTGTTTTTCTCTTTTTTGGGGGATTTTTGCAATCGTCTTCGTCTCTAGACGTGCACGCTTGAAAGATAATTAGGCAATGTCTCAAGAAGGTTTCATAAATGGATATATATGTTTGATATGGATATAGATATCAAGAAACATACGATATGAATGATAAGTGTATTATGAAAAAATCAAGCCATCTTTGTATGGAACCACCTTTGTTTTAAACAAATTATTTAATTGATTTCTATTATAATATCTTTTTAAATAATTTATTCTTAGATAGATAAAGCTGATTTTTATGACAATTTCATCTATCATTTAAAAAATCAGCTAATTTCTCTGATTAGATCACCGTTTTATTTAAAAAAAAGAAAAAAATCAACGAGAATTTATTATCTTTTAAGTTTATTATTATTTAAGATTATCTATTAAATCAACTAGTATTTGCCATATTATTTCTTTGTAATTTTCTTATGTTTTTCTTTAATTCCTATATTTAATCGATAAAACTGATATTTCTGGCAAAGTGAATTCTATTTTAAGTTCTTATCGAGAAATAGAGAGATAACTGAAAACAGGGAGCGAGATGAAAATAGAAAGAGAGGCTGAAAGTTACTTCTATTAAGAACGCAACATGAAAGAAGCTGTTATCACAGCTGTTCTTCACATTTGATGGACGTGCGTGTGCTACGTATGCAACGAGAGATAAGGCAATCAAGCATGTAACGTGTAACGAGTCGCACATGTCGCGTGTTCATCACGCGAACAATATTATGGGGCTGTTACCGCAACTGTGCCGCGTTTGCAAATAGGGGAATGCGGAACAAAGCGCTCGTTGCTGCGAATATACTACTTGAATCAGGAGTGGATTAAGTCAAGAAGGAATTTGGCGAGGGATCATAATTTGGTTGCCACTTTTCGATTATATCGATTGCCTCGAATTAAATTCTCGTTACAAAATGAACTCCGCATGAAGTTAAGTGAAAAGTAAGAGTTTGTCATCGAATCTTTGAAGTAATTTACATTTCGGAAATCTTATTAGTTCAAAATCTTATTAACATTTCAACTTTTAAATTATTATTAAAAAAAAAATTAAATTATAGTTATTATTTAGTATTTTTTATTTTAATGGGTTCTATTTAAAGACAGAGGTATTCGATATACAGTCATCAATTTATTGTCATCAATTTCATCAATTGAAAGCTAAATTAGATGATTGGCTATTACTACCAATTTTGAAATTAGATATAACGTGAATCATATTTACCTCTTTATTATTTGAAATAATTTCTTTAAAAAATAATTATTAAATATTTATTACATGGGCTCTGTCTTTTAAATAAAATATCATTAACATTATTTTGAGGCCACTCTTTGAAGCCACAATTTAATACATTTTACCTTTTAATGTAAAATTATAAATTTATTTTTTTCCATTCTCCAAAATAAAGTAACTCACATTTAAATGTATGTACCATGACCAAAAAAAGGAAACTGCAAAAATTGCCAGCACCATTGAAATTTCCTTCTACGGCTCTGACACTTCTGAAGTTGCTGTTTGTATTGCCATAAGCGGTACATAGTCCTCTTGGAAGTTCCTTTGTACAAACAACAATGGCAATCGCGATGAATTAATACCTTTTTACTGCCACTTGTCGTATTATCAGCAATCAGTTTCCGCAATATCACGCTGCTGCTCCGCAATCTCAATGATACTGATTAGTTTGTGCGCGAAATGCAAGCCAAGAACAATACATGGAAATTTAAAGCACAGTTACTTTCATACCTAATTTATGATTTAATGAAAGGTAATCTGCTGCTATTTGGCAGGCTTTACCATAACACGATTTTTTACTTGTCCTAATTTTTACCTACTAGAATATCCGATGTTAAAAATTAGAAACCTTAAGCTTTGCAATGATTGAATTGATAAAGACGACTGCATAAATATAGGAAGGTTAAATTTTGGCTGAGTTGATATTTTCTGCAAAAAATTCTTTATAGTGTTTTAAGATATCTTATTAACATCAGTAAAAAATTTGTTGTGAAATTGCTTGTTAATTTAAAATTTATGATATTATTCCAGCTCCAGTTTAGAACTGTGTCTGTGTTTCAATACCGACAAGTATTTGGCACGCAATTTATTTACATTAACCGCAAATTGTAAAATTTACGCAAAAATATCATTATAGACAAGATTAGCTTTAACCGAGAATATGATTTTTACTTATTTGTGTCGATTATTTTTCGATCAATTTTCTTACTATGAAACATGAGGAAGTTGTGAAGGGCAAAAGTAAAGAGAAATACATAACACATATCTGAATTTTTAATCATTAATAACAATTATTTATCGTTTGCTCCGTTTCGTTTCCTGAAACAATTTATACATTTACTTATTACTTATTAATTTCAAATGGTGCCACGTAACGCTATACAATCGCGACTTGATATGAACGGCCCGAATTATAGTCGAGGGTATGAATCATTCCTCACCCTTCCTGCCTATTTTGCGAGCGAGCAGATGGTCGAATATATCCAGTCATTTGGCGTACGTTGATCATTGGCAACTATGTCGCGATC